CAACTCCAGCACACACTTACCAACAAAACAGGATTTAGCTTCTCAGAGTATTTACCCCGAATTTGATTTGTATTCTACTAAAGAGTCCTATCAGTGTTTTATTCAGCCTCTCCAAATATTTAGCTTTTTCAACATTTCCCTCGACCGATTGGTGGATCAACTTCATCTCACAGTTTTTTTATTTCATCTAGTGTGTTATTTGATTTATTGATTTGTTATTATTATGACTGTATATTTTGGGGATGCAAACTTCCATCCACTGCCTGGAGTCAATTGCTGATTATAATATCTTTGCAGCCGCCGCAGCATATTTCACCAGATCAGTGAGAATTTTTTTTAAGATAAATTATATTTAACTTCAGACATTGTTAGGAAAAAATTTAAACAGGACAACAATAAGTTTGAACACATGCAGACAGAGCATCAAGTAGTTTTAGACGTATTCAGCAACAACAGAGTAAACCTGATATCTTCAGCAGCAGTCCTGTGGAACAAGTGTGATAAACTGATAAATTGTGTTAACGCACAATAAATCAATCTTTGCAGATATGCAGCAAACAGTTTGCAGTGCTTTGGTTGAGGTGAAAAGATTGAAACCAGAATAATCAAGTTTGATCAAGCACAGAGTTTTTTCCTCGTGGTCTGAACTCACCTTCAGAATCAACAGGACGAACATGATGGTAACAAATATGCTGATGACACAGGCGACAGCGATGACTAACACCAGAAGTAGAATGTTCTCATCGTCGTGGGGGTGAGGCTCCTCTGTTGGACTGAAACAGGGTGCTTCTCCATGAAAAAAAGGCAAGAAATGGATTACAGCAAAGGAAATGTACTGTCCCCATGGAAATGTTGCAATCCCAACACAGAGAGAGCGTATGTGGCACAGCCAATTTTGGAAGATTAAACTGAATTGTACATAAACCTGAAGGATAGGCCATGTGGAATTAAAATAAGGTGCACATTAAATATATACATAAAGACATAGGAAATGTTTTGAATATATATACTCATCCTATATATACCTTCACCAAAGAGGTTTACATCAGCATTGTTTGTTTGTCTGTTAATTTGTAGGATTAAATGAAAAGTACTGGACAGATTATTACAGAATTTAGTGGACGGATGCAGTATAGGTGAAGGAAGAACCCACTAAAGATCTGAAATGTACTTGGGTGCAAGTCCAGAATAAACTCATTAAACCAATTCTAAAATTGATATGAGACCAATGGAGAGTCACATGCTCTCTTTGAGCAGATTTGATGAGGAGTCTGGCGTTTTAAGAACGTGAGATTGGACGTCATTTCACACTTTCTCACCAATCTCCCCAGGAATGGATGCACGAATCTAGATTAGATTTAAGATTTAAGGATGTGAAAACCTGTTTGTGTGAAATTTGGTGCAGTTTGATTGAATTTAAGGAGCTATGAGGTCTTGTGAGTGCCATTCGAGTTCCTATAAAATCTTGTTCTGCCAGTCACTCATAACTATAGTCATAAAAATGATATATTGAAGGAAAATCTAAATTATTACCCGATGAATAATACCATAAATTCAAAGAAGAATTAAATGGATATCTCACATGAAGTCCTGTGTTGACTTTCCTGCACCTTGGCCTTACTGCGACACAATACCTGAGCTGATAAAGTTAAAACCATGGTTAAAACGCACCTGATATTCTAAGTATGTAGACGTTGCATACAACGTCAGTCGTGGAAATACTTTTGTAGACACAGCTGTAGATGCCAGAATCCTTGGCGACCAGATTGCTGATGGTGATGGTGTGGTTCCTCAGAGATCCTATTTTCTCAACCCTCTCTTTGTAGCCGATTCGTGGGGTGATTTTTTCATATCCAGAGCCGTTGAAATAGTGCAACACCTCCTCCTGCGGATTTAAACCATGATACAGATACATCCCCCTGAAGCCGTTGATGCTGCTGGGACATTCTGCAAAGCAGCACTCTAAGGTGACGTTCTCACCGGGCTCTCGCCACACTACAACATCCCCTGTGATTAACAACAAAAGACAAACAGTGTGATCAGAGGGTTTAAGGACAAACCACAAGACATAGACATCTGTGTTATTTTAACACTGACTGGATAATCACAAGACTGTTAAACAGCTTTTACCTACAGGCCGTCAAAACCATCACCCCAACCCCACCCATACCTTCTAAGGACTGTTATACAACACACATACACACACACACACTCCCCTTCACATTCTATCCAAGAACTGTTTTAAACAAGACACAGACACAAGAAAACATTCACAATTTTTTTCTGTAGCTGTAATTTTGCACGGAATCATTATGCACTAATACTCAGGTGGACTTTCAGGTTGACTGTCCTACTGTACAAATTGCACTGTTATTACGCTGTTACACTTATGTTTATTCTCTTTAGCTGTTTTTTTCATAAAATATCTACTTTTAGATTTTTACTTCTTGATTCTTGTTCGGATTTCTAAAAATCAGATCTGCTAAATAATTGTCACTGTTTCAACTGTTGGTGACAATCTTGAACATTGACAATAAAGGATTCTGATTCTGATTCTGATAAATGGCAAAAGAAATGACATGACTTTTTAAGGAAGGCTGATATATTTCAACCACATTTATAATCAGCAAACAACACAATGTTACACATATAG